AAACTTTTTTTTTTCTTATTCTCAATAAAATAAAAAAAAAAAAAAGTGAGATGGCTATGTGGGTAAGGACATGTGCCACCAGGCTTGGCCATCTGAGTTTTATTCCCAAGACCTATTGGGAAAAGATAAAAAGAGGATTGCACAAGTTGTCATCTGACTTTCAGACCCACACATGGCACTCATGTGAGCTCAGGAAAAGACCCCAAAGCACTCAGGATCAGAATGCAGACAGAACAATAGGAAGACACATACCTAAGGATTTCTCATCCGCATGTGCCAAGGCCAGACTTTCCATGTATGTCACTAAGGCTTCAAATACAAACTGTTCTACCAAGGATGCTTCTTCCCTGCAAAACAAAGACCATTAGACCTCCCCTAAGAAAACAATACATGGGAAAAGACAAAATTCAATAGTAAGAAATGCAAACAATGCTTTTGAGTCAGAGTCTCACCCAATAGTCCAGGATGTGCTGGAACTCAGTACCTACATAGCACGGGCACTAATTAAAGAAAGAGTGGTCTACTTGTTAGAAAACTTCATTTTCTTGAAAATTAAGAATAAAATATTCAAATGTAAGCTAAGGCAAAGATTTTTAAATGTCATTATTTTTGTCTACAATAAATTATCAGCATAAAAGGTAACAGCTTAACCTGTCTTTTTATGAAAGAAACAGAAACCAAGACTGAGTAAACAAACTACAGCATCAGACCATGAATTTTAAATCATTATAACTAGGATCAAATATATTTATATTAATCAAAATATGAGCGATTATAAACATATCATTAAATCCTATTATCACAAAAATCCATGCTTTGGGATTCAATGAACAAGATCTTGGAAAGAATTTTGTATAAATTGCTGGTTATGAAAGCATTTTCCATGAAAAAGGTGTCAAGATGCTTGAAGAAAGGACAACCATTTTGGATTGAAGTAGAGGTAAGAGTCAGTGGCTGGCTGTTTTGCTTTTCTGACCTTCAGGTTGAACCCCAGTTTTTATTAATGGTGCTTCATCCTTGCCCTTTACAGTCATCAGGAACACAGACTATGAACTTTCACATGGTTTGTGCCAATAGCACAGACAACATCAACATGGCCTCCAGCATGTGATGTGGGATTCTCTTCTGTATGTTGTGATTACCATTGATTAATAAAGAGACTGCTGTGGGCTTATACCAGGGCAGAACAGAGGTAGGCTGGGGATGGTGGTGGTGGTAGGGAAACTAGACTGAATGCTGGGAGAAAGAAGGTGGAGTCAGAAGAAGCCATGTAGCCCTGCCAGAGACAGATGCCGGAATGGAACCTGGCATGTAAGCCGCAGCTACGTGGCAATACACCAATGAATAGGACCCACAAAAAAAAAAAAAAGAGAGAGAGAGAGACTGCTGAAGTTGCCTAAAAAAAATGAGACAGTCCTTCAGGGTTCCTGCTTCATGAAAGAGTCTGCCTGACATTCTGCAAGACACAGAAGAAAGTGACTGACAAACTGCTAATATAGGCAGAACTGTCTTTGAAATTTCCTGCTTCACGGAAAAGTCTGCTGGATATTATAGGCCTGTAGGCTGAAGATGGATGCTCCAACAATACAGAAGAACTTTGGGTAACTGTCTGAGCAGTGAGATGCCTCTGTCAATTCTAGAGTTTTAGAAGTTGCTTACAATGTACTTCCTGTTCACTTAGGTAATATTATATCCTTCTGGAGTCTTTAATGGAGTTGAAGAATATATAGTTTTCCTTAGTTATGATAAAAGATAAAGTTTATATAAATATTGTAACTGTAATTCTTGCTTGATACCTGTTTTGTTATATGTAATTTTACTGTGTTATAATTAAAACCTTCCTTTTCATTTAGACAGAAAAGGGGAGGTGATGTGGGATTCCCCTCTGTATGCTGTGATTAGCATTGATTAATGAAGAAACTGCTTTGAGCCTATAGCAGGGACCTAAACTGAATTCTGGGAGAAAGAAGGTGGAGTCAGGAGAAGCCATGTAGCTCAGCAGCAACATGATCCCCATCCACCCGAGCCTTCTTCCATACCTGTCACTACTGCCGCATCTCTAGTTCCTCCTCCCTCCACTACACACTTATTGCTCTGTTCCTCCATCTTTCCTACCTCTCCATTGAGTATTTGTTCATCTTGGTGACACTGGAAACTGCAGTATGTCACAGAGTGTGTGTGTGTGTATATATATATTTGCCCAAACATCTTTTTATACAACTAGTTTTTGGTCTGGTTCAAGTTTCTAGACTGGAAATAAATATTGGACTGTTGTGGAGATTCATCTCCCATATCTTACTATTGACCAGAACCAGGGTAATTAGGGGCAGGTTCAGTGTAAATTCCAAGCTGTCATCTCCCTCATCCTTGTGGATTCCCATCTCTTCATCCATCTTCTATTATTGTCTCCTCTGTATCCCAGTAGCCATTTTCTAGAAATAGCTACTCTGACCATCAAAGTCAGAAGCCCACTGTAAGATGACATAGTAGTCTACTATATTAAAGATCATTATTTAACATGATTTATTTCATCCATAAACCTTTACATTTATCTATCTGAGTATCTTTCTCAACTGCAGCCCTCATGAAGAGTTGTAATTTTATATTTGCAATATTTAGAGCAGTGCCTAGCATATAATAATATTCTTTCTTTTTTCCAAAGTTCTCTTCTGAATATCACTCATTTTTCTCAATGTCTTTCTTGAACTTTTGGAGCGTTCTCTATGCCTTAGTCTTTAGTCAAAACTCTTAGGAAGAGTTTGTGCACTCCCGTAAGTCCTGAGACTCCATATCATTAGTGATGATACCCATTTTTCGACCTTAGCAGACAAAACCTGTTCAGCATCTTATTACTCTCAAAAATGTCTAAGAGTACCAAAGTTCTTCACGACTTCATACTGCCAGCAGGCTTATGAGGTGGTAGAGATTCTTGGTACTCTACCACCTTTTAATCTGAAAGAATTTGGTTGATTCTTATTCATTCTTTATGGTCCATCTCTGAGAAGTTTTCACTAACTTACTCACCACACAAACACTCTATATGCTTCAAAGAATCGTGCACATGTGTCTCTCATTGCATTCTCAAAACATATTTGCAAGCACGTCTCTGTAGTCCCTAAGATTCTTGAAAGCACACCATGTATCACATATTTATGCAATAATCGCAGGACATAAAATAACTGGACTTCAGCCAGGGCTACACAATGAAACCCTGTCCTGAAAAACTGAAAAATCCAACTAACCAACCAACCAACCAACCAACCATGGACTTAAACATCAGGGCACTTTTAAAAATCACATTAAAGGTTTCCAGGGCAGTCTTACATATTGTTCCTCGACACAAAGCATACACACCTGAACTCCTTGTAGATGTGATTAAAAGCAAGTGCTGCGCCGAGCCTCTTGAAGGCATTAGGATGGAGTGCAAGGCTGTAGAGACGCTTGAAAAGTGACTTGCTGTTTACTGGGCTCTTCTCTTGCTGCTGAGGTGTTGTCTGCTTAATGGACCATTTGAGGAATTCTCGAATACAGCATCCACAAAAATCTCTTAAAGTACTGTCAACAGGGTCCACAATACCATCCTTAATCAAGATAAAGACAGCGTCATTGTATTTATTCTTATACCCATAGAATTACTGAAGGTAGTTCTGTGTGAGTATATATGCCAACATTCAGGAGGCTAAGGCAAGAATACTATGAGTTTGAAGCTAACCTGTGATACAGAGTAAGTTCCAGACCAGCCTGGACTAAGAGCCTAAACTATAAACCATAACTTAAAAAAAAAAAATCATTCAGTAACTCTTCACTGCCCATAACTAGGAATATGATCTAAGTGACTCTGAGAATAAAGTTTTGTGATTATACTGATTGCCCTGAACAAACAGGATATTCTACACAGCAGAAGGGTAGAACAGGAGTCTTCATCAATATACCACATTTCTTCTTCACTGGTGTTCTTCTTGTCAATTTCCATGGTTGTGCTGGGTCCAATTGAATGGAAACGTTATACAGATGCAAAAATAGAACCAGTACGGAAGAACAAAGAATTAAAGGATGTTCAGACAAGCTCACTAGGTATTTCACTGGAACTTTTGTTATTGTATTTATTTACTTATTTAATTTTTAAAATTTAATTTAATTTTTTGTCTTTATTTTTCAAGGTAGGGTTTCTCTGAATAGTTCTGGCTATCCCAGAATTCACTTGGTAGACCAGACTGGCCTTGAACTTGGAGATCTGCCTGCCTCTGCCTTCACAAGTACTGAGATTAAAGGTATGCACCACCACGGCCAGGCTAATTATTTGAAGTTTTTTAAAGCAGGGTCTGTGTAGCCTAGGCTTGTATGGAACTGCTATGTCACTGGCTAGCATCACACTCACATCTTCCTGTCTCTACCTCCTAAGCGTTACAATTATAAATGTGATTCAAATGTGAACATATAGCTCTATCTCCCTGAAATGGATAAGATAACTTGAAAACACACATAAAATAATACTTAAAGGAATCAAAGTTATCCCTATAAGTTCAAAATTAAAATATTCATCCAAAACCACAACAGCGTATCTCACTGAACCCGTGGCCAATGAACCAGGCGCTAATGACGCTTCTACTACCTCATGAAGAGTGTGATAGAAAAGGTAGACTGAATTCCACACCCTTTAGTGGAATCTGAATGTAAGAGAAAATTAAATAAATTAAAAATTCCCTTTGCTCTTGAATTAAATACTGTACCATGGATTAAGAACAAACAGACAATACAACAACAACAAAACCAAACTACAGTTATTGATAAAGAACATTTTTACTGCTTATTCCCACAGCATACACCGCACTCTCTCTCTTATGCCCTTTAGCAAAGCTATCATTATTTAATATAAATATAATATATATAATATAAATATATGGCCACTCAGAAAGCAGAATAAAAATACATGTTAACTTAGTTATGGATATTAAGAATATCACTAATGGCCAGGCAGTGGTGGCACACGCCTTTAATCCCAGAAGTCAGGCAGGCAGAGGCATGCGGATCTCTGTGTGTTCGAGGCCAGCCTGGTCTACAGAGTGAGTTCCAGGAAAGCCAGGGCTGTCTTGACAAAGAAACCCTGTCTTGAAAAACAAAACAAAACAAAAAGAATATCACTTACGAAAATAAATATGATGCTGTGTCCAAAAAAGATAACAATTTAGAAAAAGGCTTTATTTTGGTTTGTTGACAAGGAACTTTTCCTAAAGATCTGAATGTACACTAAATTTCACAGTCAATTGGAATAGTAAGTTAAGGACCAAATACTACTTACCAGTATGGCTTCTAGTAAGGCAACAGTATCCTGACTTTCAAATTTCTTATTGTTGGTAAACCAGTGAATCAGCTGCATAACAAGCGGTTCATAGAGCTGCCTTGTCACCTGAGGAGACAATTTCTAATGCAGTTACATCCTTCAAGAGGGCAAATGTACACCGAAAAGTAAGCATTCAAATGGCACTGAAAATGTACACTTTACATGGCACTTTTAATAAGGCAAGATGAAGCAAAGCTATCATCATTCAATTAAGTTTCTTTTTCTAGTTCAGATTCACGGTGAACAGAGTCTAAGAGTCCAGGAAAAGAAAATATGCACACTAAACCTCATTGTTCATCTAACTAGGAGAGCAATTTAAGATACTGTTAGTATAACTTGTGTTATACTAGGGTTTAGCTGGATGAGTTTGCCTGGTCCTCCAATTCATGCACCCTCTTTAAAGTCTGAGATCTGGGATTATATAGGAGTACACGACCATGCCCAGCTTGAGATCATATTCTTCAGGTAGTTTTGCAACTGTCTAGATGCTAATCATGCACTTACCTGATCCACATCGCATGCAAGTTGAAGCAGCACAGGAAACGTGTGCTTGTAGAGCTGGTACATGGGAGGCCACCCCTGACCTTCAGGCATCTGAGAGGCTCTTCCCAACATAAACATGATCATGCTGTGTAACAGTTCACAAGCTGCCACCTAAGGGACCAATTCCAACAAAGCTTGACCACTGTATTTAAAAGGGAATATTTTGACATCTTTACTTTAGCCATTTAAGAGGAAAAACTTGTATTGTGGGTAAATACTATATACTCCAAATTAAAAAATGTAAATAGTAGTTTTTATATCAAATAAATGCTTCTGTTCACTTTAGTCTTTATACAAGAGTTAAGAACTGAAATTTAAAAATTCAGACTCTGAAGGTGATACATTCATAAGAAATATATATCACACAGTTTAGAACTATACATCCAATTGTAAATATCACTTTAGTAAGTACACTTTGGAAGCACATTAAAAGCTTACAAGTTAGTGGTAACATTTGAGACTACTTGTTTCCAGTCTCCCAGGTTACGAAGATAATCGAACTCCTACCGAGTTTCATCTTTAAACTTACTTTGCATTGTATTTTCTATTACAAAGAACTTTTGGTATATAAAAGCTTTGCCAGGTTGTTATTACTTTCATTTATCAGTGACAGCCACTTCTGAAAAATCTGAAAAGTAACGACACTAGAATTGCTAAAATATAGTATCTGTTTCTTAACCAACACACACATGTTTTTAAAGCAATACACTATGAAAACAATGAATGATAGAACAAATACTTTTGTCTGTCGGTCACTAGCAGAAAGAGCTAATTCAGTGACCCGAGGCAGGAAGACATCCAGATAGATCACAGGCTTCATCTCTCTGAAAGGAACTGCAAAGCTGAGTCTCTTCTCGCTGTCCCACGCCACACACTTCTTCATTCTCTCTCCTGAAGCAGCTGATGAGAGAGGGTAGAAGAGCGCTGTTCAGTCCAGAGCTTCCCCCACAGCTCAGGAGCTGAAGCAGGGTACTTCTAAAGCATTCTGTCTTTCCTCTATTCTGCTTCAGAGACGAAAGAATATTAAAACCACTGATAGCTCTTATTTCTAAATTTAACTTACTAAAACCATGGAAAACCATTATTCAGTAGGAATATCCAAATTTAGTCAAAGCTACTTAAAGTATATAACATAAAATAAGTACAAATAAAAAAAGTCTCCTCTTTGCCAGATGTGGTGGAATATGTCTTTAATTCTAGCACTTGGAACGCAGAAGCGGGGTGGGAGTGGGGGGGGGGGGATCTCTGAGTTCCAGGCCAGCTGAGACTACCTAAGACCTTTTCTTAAAAAATAAAACAAAATTCTTTTAAAGGGACTAGGGTGATGGTTCAGTGGATATAGTGTTTTCCATACAAGCATGAGAACCAGAGTTCAGACTGCAAGCCTATATGTAAATATCATGTGAACATTGGTAGTCTTCCTATAATCCCAATACTAAGATAGATACCTGGAGCAAGCTGGCTAGTTAGACTAGATGTACAGGCGAGTCCTTCATTTACCTGAGACCCCACCTCACAGAATGAGGTGGAGAATGATCAAGAAAGACCCCTGACATCAGCCTCAGGCCTCCACATACACATGTACCACCAAAATTTCCTCTGGAAAATACTTTCCAAGTACGGTTCTAATTTCCTAAGTAGCTAAAAGTCTCCAGTTAACACTGAACTTCAAAAGTAAAATCAGCTGAGTTTTTAATAATATAAAAACACTCTAGAATATTCACATATTAAAATGTCAAGTTCAGCACTGGAGAGGGGGCTCAGTTGTTAAGAACAGCACTTGTTACTCTTGCAGAGGACCTGTGTTTGGTTCCCAGCACCCACGTGACATCTCACAACCATTTGTAACTCCAGTTCCAGGGTATCAGATGCCCTCTTCTGATCCCCATGGACATCAGGCATGAATGTGATACATATACATCCTCCATTCAGGCAAAATATGAAAAATAAATAAATTCTTTTAAAAAGTAAAAAAATGAGGATATTAAATTTAACCTTCTCTCATGGTGGCTACTGTTGGTGGGGGCTGTCCTCACCTAAGGCCAGAAGGTGGTGTCTGCAAAGATTAAAAAGTCTTTGAAAGCCCAGCATGGTTATGCACTCCTCGATTCTAGGACTCAAGAGGTAGAAGCAGGCAGGTCTTTAAAAGTTTGAGCCTGTCTAGTCTATATAGCATGGTCCAGGCCAGCTAGTTAGGCAGGGATTCATGGGTCACTCTTCTCAAAAAGAGAAAAAAAAGACATATAAAAGAGAAAGTATGTGCTGTACTCTGAGTATAATTTCATATTCTGAATATGATCAGACAGGGCAAATTAAACCTGATCAGTTTAGAGGAAATCTGAACTAGAAGAGTATGCTATGGTAGCCCAATCTGGTGTGCACTACTACAGTAGCAATAACTCTGACTTGAGCAGAGCATGTGGGAAATGCTGTGAACACTGGCTATCACGACCGGTGACTCTGAAATCACCAGAAGCATGCCTGGAGAGGCTGCCGACAGGTAACCAGGCACCTAGTCAACTCTCAGTACAAATGTATCTACAGGGTTATTTTAGGGAAAAGCTTACCTGTTACAAGATTTTTGTTTATTTGTCCTCCTAGGAATCCCAGAATTTGTACTACTCTAATTCTTATTTCTTCTAAAGATAGCGCTTCATCCTGAAAAAAAAATGTACAAAATATGTATATTATACTTATATGATAAATCAGTTTAAAAATTAAAGGGAAGAGGAAAGAATACCTATTGTTAATGTCTTCTAATAGCTAATTAAATCCTACCCAGTAGTACTACAATGTTACTGAGAATCCATTAAAGAAGTTGTATCTCTTCTTGTTTTGCAGATGGCAGTCCAGCATAAGGCCAGCAGCGCCAATGTTTGTGGAAGACTCTTTAGACTCTACAAAGAGTACCAAGGACTCCCAAAGATCTTTTGTTTATATGGATCACACTCTTAAATACTGCATTAGAAATTAAAATTTTAAAACAGGTATCATTTAAAAAAAACACTACCCCAACATTATGTTAAAAACAACGTACTTTTATGAAAATTAGTCTTTAAAACCCTCCAAAGAGTGAGCCTGCTTTACACTAGTGCAGAGGGCTTTTGTTTTATTCATAGAAATCACAGAGCTCACAGGGGTAGGTAGAAGAAAAAGTAGCATTTTGTACTCGTTTAGATAACTGATTATCCTTCATGTCGTTCAATGTACAGTGTGAAGCCTAATCAATGAACTGTTACATAAACTATCATGCTAATTTCACTTATCTTGCACTCTGAATGGATTTTTTTTTTTACAATCATGCATTGCTCATCTGAAAATTCTGGTTCACTAGAGCAAGCAAATTTCCCAAACGTTGACACATTTCATTGCAGATGTCTAAAATTACAGTTTTTGCTATTATGACAAATTTCATGAAAAAAATATTTAAGTATCAGCTATCAAGTCCATTGTAACAGTTGTGGGTTAGAGATGTTTCCCTTCAAGTGGCAGGCTTTCTTTACTCCTTGAGGGAAGAGGTTGGCCAAAGACCCAGCTCTGAACTACCTGAGGAACTGGCTTTATCACACTGGTCTGTGGGCATAACTATGGGGCATTTTCTTGATTAAATGTTTAATGTAGGAGGACCCAGCCCACTGTGGGTGGTGCTACCCCTGAGGAGGAGGTCTTAGCTTGTATGAAAAAGCAAACTCAGAAAGGTATGGAGAATCTGTCATGAGCAGTTTTTTTTTTTTTTTTTTCCCTTCATGATCTCTGCTTCAGTTCATGCCTCTGGTTCCTACCCTGGCTTCCTTGATGATGACCTTAAACCTGTAAGCCCCATTCTTTCCTCCCAATGGAGAAGGAAAGAGGAATATACACTAACAATTATAATTTAATACGCACCTATCATAATCCAACTACTGCCTTCCACTATGATCCTCTGCCCGAGTGCTACAGAACTAAGCAGACACAGGATGGGTTAGATTTTATCCATGGGCTCAGTTTGTATTCCTTTCTTGTTTCAGCTGGATTCCCTTCCTCTTATCTTGAAAGATCAAGTGCATACAAAGCTTTCTCAGAAATGACTGACACAGCTAACCTTTAAACAAGACCCTCTTTGATAAACAAAAAATGTCCTCATCAGTACCCCCACCATTTGTTTCTGAAACATGCTCAGGTTGCGATGGAAGCTTTCCATCCTCAGGCAGTAATGTAGACAGGGATTTCAGCTGAGTTCTCCAGTGCTGAGTGCTGCTTGGTTTCCCGAGAACCTGGGTTCTCTAATACCCCAAGTTGGTTTGGTCTGTGTTTTATCACACCAACAGAAAGCAAACTAGGGCACAGCACCCATGAAGGAAGCAGGAATTTCAACACACAATTCAAAAGTATCCCCTAAGAGTTGTTCTGCCAGGCGGACTTTAAGGCTGCAGGCCTGTGGAGGTATACATCCTGTCTCATCACAAAGAATGCTAAATAAAATGCAAACAAAATAACTACAAAAAAAAAAAAAAAACTGTTACCCACACCATACAAAGACCAACCAAATAAAAAAAAAATAGTGTGATGGTTTGAATAAGACTGGCCCCCAAGGGATCATATATTTAACTGCTTAGTCATCAGGGCATAACACTATTTGAGAAAGATTAGATGTGGCCTGGTTGGAGTAGGTGTGGCCTTGGAGGAAGTGTATCACTGGAGCTGGGTGTTGGAATTTCAAAAGCCCAAGCCGTGTCTCTCTCTTCCTGCTGCCTGCTGATCCAGATGTAGAACTCTCAGCTATTTCTACAGCACCATGTCTGCCTGTGTGCTACCATTCTTCCTATCATGACGAAAACGGACTCACTCTGAATTGAAAGCTTTCTCTTACTGTAAGAGTTGCTGTGGTTATGGTGTCTCTTCACAGCAACAGAGCAGTGACTGAGACAGAAGGTGGTACCAGGGAGTGACTTAAGGGAAAGCAAAGACAAAGGATTTCTTACTGGTGAAATATTTGTTGTCCTTTTCAGATGTTTCAACACATTTTTATTAAATCCCTTCTGGGCAGCTCGAGAAAGTGCTGATACTTCCCAGTGGCTCTTGGTTTCATCTAAGGGAGTAAACAACAACAAGATCTTAAGATCACTCGTACTACATTGTGAAATAGAAACATTAAGGTCTTGGTTATTTAAAATATGATTTCAAAACTTAAACTTTAGAACAAGGGCTGGAGTGGTGACTTAGCAGTTAAGAGCACTGGCTGCTCTTCCAGAGATCCTGAGTTCAATTCCCAGCAACCAATGGTGGCTCAAAACCATCTGTAATGAGATATAGTGCCCTCTTCTGGTGTGAAGGCAGACATGCAGACAGAAATAATAAATGAATCAATCTTCAAAAAAAATCCCTCTAGAACAAAAAATATTTAGATTAACTGTTTTTTGAATATCACTGACCATCAGAAGAAGCTCTACTGGGCTTGGGTAAACCTGTACTTAAAAGAGCCTGAACCATTTTGTAGGGGCAGATCTATAACAATCCAAGCCTCATAATCAAGCCTTGAAAACTTAAGAATCTTTATGTCCGAACAGGAGGGAAAAGGGAAAGTTATTTCTTCTAGAAGAATGCCAAATTGGACAAAAGAGGAAATGAAAGTAGAATCTATCATTCTGTATCTATCACAGTAATAAACAATTCAGGAAGAACTGTGAATGAACAGGCCCTAAAACTACTGTGGGAGAAGCTTTCAAGAGGAGCAATAATTTCCTTTACTTGGGGTGGACTGTGGATGAAGACTCCTGAGAGGAATCCGGCTACAGAGAACGACTGGCTGATTAGAATCTCAGTACCACGGAGAGGTTGGAGTGTTGCAGGCCAGAGGCTGGTTACTTTATCCTGGGCTACTCTGGCCCACCAGAATGCCACTCTGCCTCATCAGAACTATTATCTTGTGACAATACATAAAAACCTTTTAGAACCTTTGGCTCACTAAGCAACTTCTTTCTACGATCCACATGCTAAGAATGACATCAGAGAGCATCTGGGGTGTATGGGATGCTTCTCCCATCTCTCTGGATCCGCCTCTCTCATGTACCCACCACTGTATTTTAAGCTTGCGATTTTTTACTTTTTCTGTTCCATAAAACTATAAAAATTGTGAAACTGCTTCCATACTGGAACATGAAATTTGGGGTAACCTAAAGCTGTGTTCCCAGTCCATAGTCACTCAATATGGTTCCAGAATAAACTATCTCTTACTTCCCTTGAAGATGAGAACTATGAGAAGCCGGTCATTGATGGAGAACACCTTTAATCCCAGCACATGGGAGGCAGAGGCAGGTGAACCTCTGTGAATTCAAGGCCAGCCTGGTCTTCAGAGCGAGTTTCAGGACAGTCAGGGCTACAACGAGAAACCCTGTTCTACCCCACCAACCCCCCAAAAACAACTACAACAAAAGATGGTGAGAGCTATGATTTTTATAGTAGTGGGCACAGGTGCCACAGCATGCATGCGGTGGTCAGAAGACAGCATGCTTGGTTCTCTCCATGTGGGTCCAGGGGATTGAACTGAGGTTACCGACCACTGTGCTATCTCAAACACCTATCCTTTTTTTTTTTTTTTAAGTAGAACACATTTAAACTCATTAAGGAAAAGTGAGAAAACTCTTGAGAGTAGGACGGGTTTCAAGGGAGGAATACCACCTCATTAACCTGAACCTGATCACGAGAAAACATTAGAAAAGCCCAAAACATGAGATGCTTAAAGTTATAGTGTATAATAAAGTTTATAAAATACAACATAAGAGGGATACCAGTCTGGTACTAAAAAACCTCGCTAACTACTCAGTGCCAGTGAAGTCAATGTTACTGGAGAAGAATCTCATAGCCACTAACTTACTAAACCAGCATAATACTTAACAACAAACTATAAACACTTGTCCTTTTACAACAAGTAAGTATAGTCTTTAACCTTTACCAGAGAAATTTGTCTTTGCAATAGACAGACTACTACAGAAAACCACAACCAACCATAATGCAGAATTTTGGAGACTAATTCCAATGGATACATCTACAAAGCACTACCACACCAAGGGCTCAGGGAATACCATAGAAAAGAGGGCAGAAAGATTATAATAGCCAGAGGATCAGTGAGTTTGCTATAATATCATGTCTCCTAGCAATATCAGAAGCTACACACATAAAGACTTCACCAACATGATTGGCCTAATATTAACTGAATAAGAATTACATTAACCAATATGTCAAACTGAACAGAGAAAAGTCCACATAGCTTCAACCCTATAAAAGAAATTTCATGCAATTGAGAAAAGCTGGGAGGGGTGGTCTTCCCAAGGAATAGCACACCAATTTGTTGTTCAGTGCCAAATGGTCAGCCATAATAATATACATACAAGTAACATTATATAAACAACAGGTTATATTTAGGAATATACATGTATGTACATATCTGCATGCAATAACAGTTAGTGAAAAAAAGAGGCCAGGCATTTGAAGGAGAGTGGGAAAGGGCATATTGGTGGATCTGGAGGGAGAAAAGGAAAGGAAGGAATCTTGTAATTAAATTATAATCGCAAAAAAAAAACCCACTTCAGTTTCCTTCCAGTTTACCAAAATTAACAAATTAATCATCCAAGAAAGGACAAATTGAAAGAAAAAACAATCAAACAGATTTTGAATATTCTATGTTGAACTTCACAAGTTGGAAAGAATACTAATAATCCAACTTTATTATCACTGCAATTTTATTTATGAAATGCATCCAGATTTCTGTAAAACTTACCTGACAAGATTGAAGTTTTAAGGTATCCATCAAGGCAGGGGAGAATGTCTTTGTAGTAAGGCTGCATTATAGACTTATTAATGTGAACCGACCATTCTTCAAGGGCATGCAGACCTACTTCTGCCAGAGGCATATGGCTCAGGCCCAGTTTGAAGGCCATCTATATATATGTCAATACAAACAAGGAAAATTAAAACAGGAAGTTAAAACTTACAGAAACAAAAACCAATTATTTTACAGTTTTTTTAAGATGTATTTATTATATATACAGTGTTCTGTCTGCATTTTGCCTGCACACCAGAAGAGGGAATCAAATTTCATCATAATGAGGTTGCTGGGAATTGAACGCAGACCTCTGGAAGAGCAGCCCTTAACCTTTGAACTATCTTTCCAGCCCCATTTTATGGTTTCTAATGGGTATGTTTTTATTGCTAGCCCCTAGAAACTACTAAAGGTTGTAAGTAGGCATAGTTCAAATCACCAGAGGAAAACAAGGGACAGTGGTCCACGGCTGGGGATTTACTGCAGGCTTTCAGCACATGTAAGACCTAATTCTCAGGTCAATTTGTAAAGGAGGAGCAGAGATACCTCTGATACTCAAAGCCTCACAGCTAGAAGAGTTCAAACAGAGGCTGCTAGGTGACCCCCTGCTTTAATTGTAATATTTCCAAGTCTTCTAGTAAACAAAGTGGTGATAAAAGTAAGAAAACACACCTACCTGCAATGCAGGAACATAAGCTCTAACATCAAGTTCAATGATGTCATGTGGCAAGGACAGAACAAAGGTTAAACAGGAGGCCAAAAGTTCATCCTTGTACTGCTTCATTTTAACTGATACCTTAACGAGAGAAAACACACAACAAGTTGTGTATCTGAATATAGCTTACAATTAGGAAATTAATATTCGCCCTCTTCTAAAGTGTGAAATACCACCACGTAGCCTTTATTTGTCATGAGTGTAAAACAAAACGCTAATTCTCAGAAAAAGTTCACTTAAGTACCTATTCCCCTTATATGAAAAGAGAAGGAGAGGGGTGAGGTATGATCAAGGTACATTATAGTTAGATACAAAAATGTTGTAATGAAACCCATTACTAGCAACAATTATTTAACAATATAGGGCAATAAGAACTATATTTGAATTGTCATCACTCAGCTGAATTATTTTCCAAAAATTTAAGAGCTTTTTTTTTTTTAAATTTATGTGCTGTACTGGGGTTTTGCCTGCATGTATATCTATATGAGGGTGTTGGGTACCCTGGAACTGGAGTTACAGAAAATGGTGAGTTGCCATGTGGGTTCTGGGATGGAACCCATGTCCTCTGGAAGAATAACTAGTGCTCTTATCTACTGAGTCATCTCTCCTGCCCCCTCCAGAGACTTTTGAAGCAGTGATTTCTTGTGTAAGTTTTTAAAAGACCTTACTACCAAGAAAAACCTGCCATCCAAATGCTTGCCTACCTGAGGAGAGAGGAACACAGGCTCAAGGGCAGCCTTGGCTATATTTCAAGACCCTGTCACAAAAAGAAACCAAGGCTAGGAGATTCCTCACGAGTCAAAGTACTTGCCATCAAGTCTGACAATATAAATTTGATGCCCAGGTCACATAGGGTGAAAGAAAATGGGCTTTTACAGGCTGTTCTCTGACATTCAAACAGATAACAAGTAAACATGAAGAACAAAAAAAGCCAAGTGGAGGTGGCACACATCTTTAATCCCAGCACTCAGGAGGCAGAGGCAGGAGGATCTCAGTGAGTTTGAGGCCAGCCTGGTTTACCAAGCAAGTTCCAGGACAGCCAGGACTGTTACACTGGGGAACCCTGTCCCAAAAAACCAAAACAAAATACAGCAAAACAACCAATCAAAAACAAAACAAAAACAAAAAAATACCCAAAACCCATCAATCAAGAATATAAACAAAGCCTCAGTTGCTCCCAATTTGAATTTGAGAAACCAATTTTCAAGGCCAGAGAGGTGGCTCAGTGAGTAAGGGTGCTTGCTACGAAGTCTGATGACCTGAGTTTAGAATCCACATGGTGAAATGAGAGAACCAAGTCCTACAATTTACCATCTAATATCCATATGTGTACCATGACACACAAGCACCCATAAACACACAGAAATGTATTCTATCAAAAAAAAAAAAAAAAAAAAGCTGACCTGATGGCACTCCCCTTTGATGCTAGCATTAAAGGAGGCAGAGGCAAGCAGAGCTCTATGAATTCAAGGATAGCCTGGTCTACATAGTGAGTTCCAAGCCAGTTAAGGCTGCACAATGAAACCTTGTCGCAAACAAACAAAACTAAAAAACTGTGTCACTGATGATCATTAGGATTTTTTCACTATACACTAATTTAAGAATATCCTGAAATACATTAAGGTAGAATACTTAAATATTACCTCTTTGCCAAATTTTGCAAATAAAGCAAAGCAAGAATACTTTTCTGGATCTTCAGAAGAATGCTTCAGACTGTTTGGGCTAACTCCCTGTCAAATAAAATAGCAAATTAGTATGCTAAGCAAGAATCAAGTACTTCCACACCCATGTCTGCCAGTTCTCAATCTTTGCCCAGAGGATGCATCCATTTCATGTTTGCAGATTCTAGTTTGGAGAAGATGGAGACTCAGTTCCAGGGTGCATCCCAGTAGAAACAAAGTAGGGGAGAGGGTTGAGGACGGTCCAAAAGCCATACGCACGCATCCCTTCCTCATCTTCCAGTGAAAAACAATGTTGGCTACACTCCAGGCTTCTGTGTGACCAACAGGAACCTCAGCTTTACAACCTAAGTCATCCCTGAATTTCAGGACACCAAGTCACTTAAAGGGTCAGGAACACAGATGTCTGCAGCCTGAGGAGCCTCTGATTAGCTAAGTCTTAAGAAAACCTGAGGCCTCTAGAGCAATACTTTGGTGACAGGATCACTATGAATTAGAAGACTCTTACAAAGGTATTTAAGAATCAGAGTAGAAAGCCGGGCGATGGTGGCGCACGCCTTTAATCCCAGCACTCGGGAGGCAGAGGCAGGCGGATCTCTGTGAGTTCGAGACCAGCCTGGTCTACAGAGCTAGTTCCAGGACAGGCTCCAAAGCCACAGAGAAACCCTGTCTCTAAAAACCAAAAAAAAAAAAAAAAAAAAAAAGTGAGTTCCAGGACAGCAAGGGTTGTTACACAAAGAAACCCTGTTTTGAAAAACAAAACAAAACAAAACAAAAATCAGAATAGAAGTCAGGCACTTGGAGGCAGAGGCAGGCAGATTTCTGTGAGTTCAAGGCCAGCCTGGGCTACAAAGAAGTTCCAGGACAGTCAGGGCAGTTAATAAAGAAAAACCCTGTCCTGATAAAACAAATAATTTTAAAGAAAACAAGGATACAAAAAGAGTAGAAAATGCTAATAACGTTTTAAGAGTCTTCAAATTAACATTTACATATCAGTTTTTCAATTATTAAAATTAGACTTTAAGGGGCTGGAGGGATAGCTCAGTGGTTAAGAGCACTTAGTTGCTCTTCTAGAGGTCCTGGGTTCACTTCCCAACAACCACATGGTGGCTCACAACCATCCGTAATGAGATCTAGGGCCCTCTTCTGGCATAAAAACATGCATACATGCAGACAGAGCACTCACATATACGATAAATAAATTAATCTTTAAGAAATAAAAAAGTAAACTAGACTTTAAAACTACACATTTTATAAGCACCCTCCCTGTAAGCTTATACAAGAAGTTTAAAAGAAACGTAACAATTGTTCAGGTCCCCAGAAACACTTACCTCAAAATATTTTATTTTCCTGGCATTTTTCACTGCAATAGAAAGTAATTTGTAGAAACCACTGATGAGTGGCAACCGTGTAGACTGTAAAATTAACTCATATGCAAATGAGTGTACCCATGGCTCAAAAAGTCTTATTTGTTTCTTAGGAAGAATCTCCCTATAAAAACAAAATATTTAAGGTAGAAATTTTCATCCTATTCTTATTCAGCTTTAAAATGATGAGATATTAAGAATGATGGACAATTTCACTTATCACATTTTTTGACACTGTAACACCTTTCAAGATATATATGTTCCTTTTTTCCTGCCTGAGGTCTTCCAACTTTTCAGGGAAAAAAAAAAAGCTAAGTCTAAACTGCTAAGAATATTTTAAAGGTTGACAGAAGCAATTTTTGATGATTTCAACTCTTACATTTATATAAGAGGTCACTTCTGTTAGGGGTAATAAACTGATACATTCTTAAAGAATTAAAATTCTACAAAATACCTGCAAAACTCCACCAGGTTAATGAAAGCTGAAAAGTCTTTTGGTTTAGTAGGTTGCAAATTAGCAGCTGGATCTGAAGTTGGGATCACCCAAACAGCAGTTGTGCTTCCATCCTGAAAAATTGTCCCAAAGCAAGAATTGTTCCATTTAACACATCATTCAACAAATAACGTTCCAATGAAATTGTCACATAGAACTGATTTATAAGGAAAGAATGCAGAAGTGAGGAAGACATAATTGAGTCCTCAAGGGCTTAGCTGAATAGTCTTAAAAATAGACTTATTTTTACTTTCATTTGTGTGTTTCTGTCTATGGTATATTATGTATGTATGGGTGCCTGTAGAGGCCAAAAGTGGGTGGTGGATTCCCTGGAGGTGGAACTACAGGTAGTTGTGAGCGACCTAGCATGAGTGCTGGCCACATGTAGGTTTACTGAGACAGATTCTCATTTGGTAACCCAGGCTTGCCTTGAACTCATCATCTTCCTGCTTTCTCAAATGCTGTTAACAGACAAGTGGTACCACACCTGAGTAAAAAAATGTTTGAACATTCTATGCATACAAATCACTTTTTGAATAATCTGTTGGTAACACATTCTATGCATTGGCTTATATGCAACAGAAAAGCACCTATGGCACATATCATTGCAAAGAACTCCATTTTCCTTTCTCCCTTAGAGATGTACTATGGTCCTGAGCATGCAAAGAGTTGGGATTTAAACAATGCAAAATTACTGTTGAAAAAAATTTCTAACCTCATGCTCTCCAACAGTCTGTTTCTCCAGTGTAAGATCCAATTTTTCCACAATCTTCAAAACTGATCTTATAAATTCATCATAGAGTAAATGATTCAAACTTTTAAGGGAGGAATTCTCAAAGAGAAATGTTTCATCTGCTAAAATAAAATCCTGTAAATAAAGAAAAATTTAAAGACTTCAAAATCTGTGCCTGAGTAATAGTGGCACTTGCCTTTAATCCCAGTGCTTCCGAGGCAGAGGCAGGTAGATCTCTGTGAGTTCAAGGCCAGTCTGGTCTACAGAGCTAAACCAGGACAGCTGGGCTGTTACATGTGTAGAAACCCTTGTCTCAAAAACAAACAAACAAACAAAAAAGATAAGTCTTTCTTTGCTTAACTTTGGAGCCTGTCCTGGAACTTGCTCTGTAGACCAGGATGAATTACACAGAGGCATTATTCTAATACAAGTGATTTGGTAAAACTTTAAGACAATTCTGAAACCATTTCTGAACCCTCTCAGTACTTCCCCTCCTCCCCTGGGAACCAAGGACATAGCAGCTATGCAAGCACAAACTGAGATGTTGGGAACTTTCCATCTCCCTGAATAGGGGAAAGATAACCCTTAGGTGTTGACTCAGTTACTGCTGTTTTGACTTAGTCCCAGGGAAAGGGGCAAAGTGACCCTCAGAAGTTTCCCTTTACCTCATCTGATCTGGCAACCACTCTCCAGCCAATAATTGGTAATAGCCTTTTTTAATAAGCCAATCATAATAGTTGAAGAACAACCCCAGATGCCCCCCTTCCTTCTGTGGCTTACTGCTTTAAAAATAGCCTATACCAGCAATTTGGGGTCTTTCTGGCCTCTAGTGCTGAAAGACCCTGTCATGACAAAATTAATAAAATCTTCATGCTTTTACATCAGCTGTGGTGGTGAGAGACTGTCTCTGGAGGGCGACTCCTCCTCCTTGGTGACTGGACTCTAGGGTCCAACAATGTAACTAATGCACACCAACCCCTCAGGATTATTAAATGAACTGGATTTATCCACTCAGCAAAGACAACAGTGAAAAATTGTGCTTAGCACACTTGAGGCCCTGGGTTTAATTCCCAGGAGGACGAGAGTGGGTGGGGGAGGAGAGAAGAAGGGAAAGACAGAGAAAGAAATAGCTACAGAAAGAGGGGCAGACTAAGTGGGGGAAGAGAAGGATCATAACCATCCTGCTATGAGGCAGATTTTTAAAAACTATTTTACTTTTGCAATGCTGAAGAACAAAACCAGGATTTGTTTGCATGTTAGACAAATGCTTTAGTACTGAGTGATATCACTAGCCTTCATTTCACTTACTTCTGGTTTTACTTTCAATTGTCTTGACTTACACCATTTTAAATATGCTTTAAGAACTTTTGAAAGTTAGTAAAACAAAATCCTGAAAAGTCTTACATCTGTTCTGACTAGTTTTTATACCAACTTGACGCAAGCGAGGGTCATCTGGGAAGAAAGAATTGTAACTGAGAAAATGTCTCCAAAGGACTGGCCTGTAGGCAAATCTGTATGTAGGGCATTTTCTTGATTTATAATTGATACAGTGGGAGGGCCCAGATAACTGTGGGCAGGGCCACCCCTGCGTAAGTGGACATGTACCATATAAAAAAGAAGGCTGAATAAGCCATGAGTAGCAAGCCAGTAAGCAGCCTTCATGACCTCTGCTCTGCTTCCTGCCTGCAGGTCCCTGTCCTAACTTCCCTCAGGGATGGACTATGATGAGGAAATGTCACATGAAATAAACCCTTTCCTCCCCAAGCTGTTTTTGGTCACAGTGTTTTATCACAGCACAGATACCCTGAGAAAGAGACCTCTGTAACTATGGAGATGTTTTGTTCTGTGTTTCTGAGACTTGGTGTCTTGTCTGCTTGGTTTTGGTTTCTATTGATTTAGTGGAGTCTCTTAATAAAGAAGAGAAATAGAGCACTTTAATAGCTTTTTGTTTGTTTGTTTTTCGAGACAGGGTTTCTCTGTGGCTTTGAAGCCTGTCCTGGAACTAGCTCTTGTAGACCAGGCTGGCCTGAACTCACAGAGATCCACCTACCTCTGGGTATTAAAGGTGTTTGCTTTTGAGTGCTGGGATTAAAGGCGTGTGCCACCACCACCTGGCTAGCTTTGAAATTTTATCAGGAGTTCAAGGAAACAGAACAACAACAAAAAGGTTAGAGAGATGGCTAAGTAAAAAAAAAAAAAAAAAAAAAAAAAAAAAGCCTTTGTCCCCAGCCTTGCAACCTGAGTTTGATCTCAGTGAAAGGATAAAACTGACTCTTAAAATTTGTCCTCTGGAGCCGGGCGGTGGTGGTGCACGCCTTTAATCCCAGCACTTGGGAGGCAGAGGTAGGCGGATCTGTGTGAGTTCGAGACCAGCCTGGTCTATAAGAGCTAGTTCCAGGACAGGCTCCAAAACCACAGAGAAACCCTGTCTCGAAAAACCAAAAAAAAAAAAAAAAAATTAAAATTTGTCCTCTGACTGCCACAACAATATGTGGCAAGTTCCTAGATAAGGAAGGGTAATAAAAATATACACATTTAAAATTTTTACCGTCATCTGGTCACAGCTTAAAAGATGCTGAAAAAGATCCACATAATCTTTGTACGTGGGCACTTTCCACTTGCCCGTTCTGACTTCCCCTGAGGCCCATTGGTTATTCGACTTGGACTCAACATCCTGGAGAGGAAGAAAGCAACCCATTATTAACTGGGAGACACATGAGGCCGCTGCTGTCAGAGCACGAGCAACTTAGCAGAACTTTCTAAACTAAGACTAAAAAGGTTAAGTCAGTATCTGTAGTCAATAAATATAGCTTTAATGCACCTTTTAAGTCCACTACAAATCATCCCTCCTCTTATGTGATCCAATCTCTCATTCCATTCATGCGCCTCTAAATTCTACACATTTTTATGTTTCCTAGATTATAAGAGAAAAAACAGCTTTCTTTGTAAAAATGTAGGTAACAGGAACAGGAAGATGCCTCAGCAGGTAAAGGCATTTGCTATCAAGCCTGAAGACCTGTGTTCGATTTCTGGAACCCATATAGTGGAAGACAATTAAATCCTGAGTGTTTTCTTCTGACCTCCACAAGCATGCACACACACACATGCACGTGTGTGCACATGTGCACACGCACATACACATACACACACACACACACACATTGGAAGAAAAAATTTAAAGTGTTGCAGTGATATTTGGTGTTTAACAAATAAAACTTGTCTGAAGATCAGAGTGCAGAGGTAAGACATAGAGGCCAGGCAGTGATGGTTCACACCTTTAATCCCAGTATCCTAAGCCTTTAATTCCAGCACTAGGGAGGTGGCTACTGGAAGGGATATGGCTGCGCAGAGAGGAATATAAAATGAGAGCAGACAAGAGCTCAGTGCACTCTGAGGTGCGGTGGAGACAGATGCAGCCTGGAGATGCAGCCTGAGGACACAGTCTGAGGACAGGATCAACCCTGCGTTCTGAGCATTGGTAGAAGTAAAAGGTCTCTCTAGTGGCTGGCTCTTCTGCTTCGCCATCTCTCAGCTTTCACCCCCTAATATCTCACTCTGGGTTTTTATTAAGAACAATTAGAATTCATGTTATAAAATGTATGTAACATAATTTTATTCCTTAGAAGTATATTCATCTAACAGGTTGGTTTTATACATGAAATTTCAAAACAGAAGACATGAATTAGCTGGGAATGTGGCTTGATTGGCAGATTGCTCACCTAGTAGGCACAAATCCTGACTTCCACCCCCAGTACTACATAAATGTGGCATACTGGTGCACACCTATAATCCTAGCATTTATGAATTACAGGAAAGAATATTGGGAGTTCAAAGTGATCCTTGGCTACATGTCAAGTTCAAAGCCAGCATGGGCCAACACGGCATACTGGAGACTCTCAAGAAAGGGGTAGTGAAAGTTAAAACAAAGAAAGGTTTTAATACATTTACATGCTAAACACTGTTTCTTTTCTTTCTTTTTAATTTTTCAAGACAGGGAGGGTTTCTCAGTGTAGCCTTGGCAGTCCTAGAACTAATTTTGTAGACCAGGCTAGCCTCAAACTCACAGACATCCGCCTGCCTCTGCCTTCCTCATGCTGGGATTAAAGGAGTACACCACCACCGCCCAGCCTAAAACACCGTTTCTAACATCCAGTAATAACACTAGTTTTTGAAACCTTAGATTCAGAATTTACCTTTTGAAGGACCACTGGTTTAGAACATATTCTAATTAAACCTTGATGCACTGAAAATGAAGAAAATGAAAGAATAATGAAGGAAACATTGAGAAACACAATCACTCAATAAAAAAACATTTTGCCTCTTAATTTTTTTGAAAATTTTTAATATCTTTAGTTTTAAATTATGAACTTCTGAGGATCAGAAACTAAAGTGAGTACAATAACATACATGTATAATCCCAGCATATGGGAAGTAGAGGCTGGACAACTATGGAGCTCAAAGTTAGCCCAGGCTACACAGGGAGATCTTGTCTAAAATAAAATTAGAATAAATTCAGAAGTCAAAGATGCTTAAAGAAAAAGGTTTCTTGCAAAATGTCCCTTGCTCAGGCCCTGAGGAAAACTCTACTACTGTTACTGTGCTAAATGTACATATTATAAAACTGTCTTTTAAATATTTATGTTTGTCTACTGCCACACGACTCTGGATGCACTGCATCTCACCTGAATTTGTATAGAGAAATGTCTCTCTGCAGCAGGCACCAGTTAATGCGGAGACTCAACAACCAGTCAAGGTGCCAATAATTAACAATTATTAACAATTATTCAGCTCTCAGCCTTAAACATCACCACCACTACCCAAGGCTTAGGGAACATCTTGGAAGAAGGGTGAAATGGATGTAAGGGCTAGAGGATGAGCAGGAGTGCTATGAAGTGCTGTCCTCCAGACATGGCATGGCCACTGGATCTACAAACTCACTGCAGCTATTCCCATCTGCACAGAATCCGGTCAACAAGATTAGTCAGCACTGCAACAGGCGGCACCAATGGGACCAGTGGGCTATTGACAACAAAATAGAGACCACGGAGGAGTTAGTGTGAGAGGGAGGAAGAGCTGGGGTTGTGGTGGTTTAAATACGAATGGCACCCATAGGCTCATTCATGTTTGGATGTTTGGTCCCCAGATAGTAGAAATGTGTGGGAAGGATTAGAAGGTGTGGCCTTATTGGAGAAGGTGTGTCCCTGGAGGTGTGGTTTGAGGCTTCAAAATCCCTTGCCAGGCCCCGAGTTCCCTCTCTTGACTAAAATTGTGGATCAGATGTGAGCTCTTAGATTCTGCTTCAGCACCATTCCTGCCTGCCTGCCACCATGTTCCCTGCCAACTAACTCCAAAACTGTAAGTTCTCTTTAAAGGTACCCTTGGTCACTGTGTTTCTTCACAGAAATACAACAGTAACTAAGACATTGCTTACATGCTTGAAATTGTCAAAAATAAATAAATGAAAGAATGTGTGAGTTTTTTCTTCTTCTTCTTTTTTTTTTTTTTCAAAACAGGGTTTCTGGGGGCTGGAGAGATGGTTCAGTGGTTAAGAGCATTGCCTGCTCTTCCAAAGGTCCTGAGTTCAATTCCCAGCAACCACATGGTGGCTCACAACCATCTGTAATGAGGTCTGGTGCCCTCTTCTGGCCTGCAGGCATCCACACAGATAGAATACTGTATACATAATAAATAAATAAATATTTAAAAAAAAAAAAAAACAGGGTTTCTCTGTAGCTTTAGAGCCTGTCCTGGAACTCACTCTGTAGACTATGCTGGCCTCAAACTTACAGAGATCTGCCTGTCTCTGCCTCCCAAGTGCTGGGATTAAAGGCGTGCACCACTACCTTCTGGCAAAAGATTCTGTTTAAAGAAGAATAGTAGGTACCACTGATTCTAAATTCTAATAATAAAAAAGATTTTGATTCATCAAATTGAAAAGTTCTCTAAAAACTATTAAGTACTCAAAAAATTAGGGAACCAGATTTTCTATGAATATATCAACTAACATGTTAAGTTTTTTAGCATTTACCACAATAAGAACAAAAATGGCAAGCTTACCCACAGTACTAATGAAATTCCAGTGAACTGGCCCTTTTTCTGCTAAGGCCAGGAAGACTTTTACTATTGCTTTACAACACACCAGCTGCATTTTGGGGCTGTACTGAGGGAAACTGTCTATCTGTACCACCATGAGATGTTCCAAAACGGGAGTATATACTTCAGGAACCTACCAAAAATGGAGAAAAAACTCAAAATTAGAACAGGGAATAAATATAAGAAATATATATATATATATATGTATATATACTCAAATTTATTAGAACTCAAGTAGCCACAGGTAAATGAAAACTGACTTGTAATCTTAGCTATCAAACTTAACATTTACTATTGCAGCTACCACAATAAATCCTAATAAACTGAGTGGTATTTACAGCACAATTGTATCCTAAGTAGCAATCAGAATCTTTTAGAAGGATAGAGACGTTAACACTTATTTTTTCTGCTCTAGATTCCAGCTTCTTTTGTTTTATTTTTCTGTTGTTTTTAAAAATTATTATTATCCATAAATCTACTATAGGATATCTAACATATTAGAGCTGGGAAGATAGTTCAGTCAATAAAGTGAATGAGGACCTGAGTTCAGATCCACAGAATATATGCAACTCCAGCTTCTTCAGTTGTGTGTTATAATCCAATATGGGGTCATTCAATCAACTATGGGGATATATCAGAATCTGATATATCATGAGATATATATTAGAACAGTAAGACATTTTCAAATATCCAGATTAAAAGTTAATTTAAAAAAATCAAACCTATAAAGAACATGCAGTATGGGCTGGAGCAATGTCTCAGAGTTGAAGAGCACTGGTGCTCTTCCAGAGTGCGATCCATTCCCAGCACCCACGTGGCAGCTCAAGGGATCTAGTGCCCCCTTCTGGCCTCTGGTGCACAAGACATGCGCATGGTGCTCAGACACACACGCAGCGAAACACCCATACATAAAATAAATTTTTAACAAAATTAAGAAGTGAAGAATCCAAGGTGTGTCTAGAGGTGCTTTCCTATGCTGTAGCACGTGACTGTACCACACCCTAGGTTCTGAACACACACTCTGCATCATTCCACGCAGTGCATGGCATGAACACGCTAGTTCAAATCCAAAACTGTTGTTTTCTTCTTAAAGAAAAAACTGCTTTTTTCTCTTAAAGAAAATGATGGCTAATTATAAAATTATTTTAATATTTTTCCACCATCCCTCAGCAAATAAGTAGTAAATTGCTGTATCTTTAAATGATATTGTGTTAGAATGTTTGACTTTAAAAGATGCTGTCTGAAGCTGGAGACATGACTCAGCAGTTGGAAACACTTGCTGCTCTTACAGAGTGTTTGGTTCCCAGAGCCCATGTAGTAACTCATAACTGTCTTTCTAGTTTCGGGGGATCTGGTCTATTTTTCTGGACTCCCTGGACACCAGGCAAACACATGGTACATATTCATATATGTGTAAGATACAAACATAAATAAAATCTTTAAAAAGAAGAAAAACAACACAAAACTTCTGCTTAAGTTTCTGACTTAAGGTTCACTGTAAAAATCACTAAATGAATTATGGTTTGGAATTAGGACATCATTTCCAGTTCTGAAATGGCCCTAAATAAACTTCTACTATTTTGGGCTACACATTTATGTCAAGAAGCATTCTCAGAACGGGTAGATGTAGAACCATTTATCAACTCTGAAAAATATTGAAGATACTGTTCATCCCACAGCAGCAAATAGTCAACCAGGATTTAAATCTTTATGTATAAGGAATCCATCTCATTAGTATGTAAATTTGCTTTAATCTTTAATAAATGATTAAACTAAACAGAAACCAAAGAATTATTTTAGGATAAATTTAGCTATGCTTTATTATCAGAAAGCATTTGATTTGTAGAACTATTTAATATACCCAGGATTGCATCAAAATTTCCCTCACAAAAAAGAATCACAAAAGGAAACAGTTTTAGTAAACCTGCTTTAGATAATAACAATAAAGATTTATTGAAACAAATACTAGACAAAATGTTGTGGGTTTTCCAGGGGTACCTACACTACCACCAGAGTAAGAGTCACCCTTGACAGTTCCAGCAGCCTCACTTCTTCCCATACCTTCCTTCCAGCTACCTGGGAGGTTCTAAGACAGCAACTATGGTGTTAGCCTACAAACACAACTTTCATTAGTAGTTGCTTTCCAGTCCTTTGAGATTTTTTACTACTGTCAGAAGAAATACTAATAAGATTGGGATAGCTGATCAGATATAAGCAATGCTGTTGGTTTCAAGAATTAGCAGTTACAGTAGGTGCTTGTTAAATTTTGCTGTCTGGAAAAATTAAAATTAGTATCGCCAAGCAAGTTTCTGGTGAATTACCCATTTATTTTATATTGTTATCAAGGAGCTCCACAGCTGATAACTGAACCAAGAAATCACGTGCCTTTCATTAATAACAACGAAGATGACTTGTGGAGAGGGAATGAAGTATTCCAACCACATTCGGGGTAACCATTTACTTACCGCGTCAAGGTAAAGCAGGACACTTGCAATGGACTGGAGGAAACTCGGCATCTGGTAAACATGATCCTCACTGGCTTCAGTCTGGGTGAGGAACATCTGTTTACAGCGCTGAATGAGCTCAACATACATGAAGTCAACATCTTTGGCATTTATAACCTTGCAAGGCTTTAGGAAAGGCAAAACAGAAATATTATCAGCATCAAAACAAAGGCCCTTAAAATGTCATGTTATGACACATGATTATAAACTGCTAAATATTACCAAGCAATTTAAACTGCTGAATATTAGCAAGCTGTTTACTTATCTTACTGTACAAAATATTGTATCTTATGCTTTTCATAAAAATGTATACCCGCCAGGCGGTGGTGTCGCATGCCTTTAATCCCAGCACTCGGGAGGCAGAGGCAGGAGGATCTCTGTGAGTTCAAGGACAGCCTGGTCTACAAGAGCTAGTTCCAGGACAGGCACCAAAAACTACAGAGAAACCCTGTCTCGAAAATCCAAAAAAAAAAAAAAAAAAAAGATGTATATTCCCACCCTAAAGATTTACTTCTACACATTGTTAACTATGGTCTAGGCTCTGCTTAAAAGGCAGGCCTTGCTATGCACTGGCCCTGTAAGGCTTATCACTCTAGCAGGAGACTTCTCACACACTGCCTTATCTTGTCTCTGAATTAGAGCTGTAAACAGCAAACAAATAGAGATGAAGAATAAAAGACAGAGGAAGAAGAGGGGAAAGAAAGGAAAGAAGAATAAAAAAGAAGATACTGATGGAAAAAGAGACAGGAAACTAGTTTTCTTAGAAGCAAATTACACAGAAATAACTGGAGGTATTCATAGTATCCTTTATGGGATGGTGGGGGTTGGTGGATAAAGCGTATGCTATCTTTGAATTTAGTATGCAACCCAGGCTGTTGTTCATCTGTAGCAATTTCCCTGTCTTAGCTTCCTGAAGCCTGGATTATAGGTTGGAATACAGCTATCTTCTTAAATATGTCTTTCTGTCCTAAGAACATCTGTCTAAAACTTTAAGTGAAAACCACAGTTTTACTGTATAATAGGGGGCTGCAGAGTACAAAATGAAAATACAATGTTTCTAGCATCCAGAACTGAATTTATGTAGAGTTTTATTTGTTTGTTAGTATCTGAACTTTTAGGTTGCTAACCATCTCCTAAATCTGTTTAGATGACCAAGGCCGACCTAGAGTTCTATATAGTCCAGGCTGGCCACAAACTATTAATTCCGTTGCCTGTTTCTTGCACTGAAAGTATAGGCATGTCTCAATCCTAAATAAGATTTATGTCTTTTTTTCTACCAATTCAGGATAGCTTTTAATAAGTTAGCTGTCATTTCTTGGTCTTTGCTTTTTCTTGTAGAAAATAGACAAATAACTCATCTTGTCAGTAAGCTATGGGGATCTGAGATAATGCATGTACACAGTAAACACTGAAAATTGAACTGTTAGTAGAACAAGTACCAATAATATCAACACAAGCACAACACGCTATTTAAAAAATGCAGTGTTATAGTCCTGTAAATAATTAAGCAAAACCAAAAACATAAAATACAGTAAACTAGTGAAACATACTCCTGCAAATAGTCCATATCCACGAATAGCAATGGATAACTCCTTGTTGTTCGAATCCGCATTTCTGATGATTCCATAGAACTGTTCCATGAAGTACTGCAGCTGACTCCTGTGTAACTCTGCGTCTTCTGCCACAGTAAATGAAATCTGTAATTTTAGGACATTTGCTCTTTAGAAACATTTAATAACCAAAGGACCTAAACAAATATGACTATTAAGATAATATTATAATTATATTTGATTGCTTTTAGTCAGAACCCTCTGCTTCAATATACTTAGCTAACATCGGTTCAGAAAAGACAGTTTCTTAGCTAAGGCTACTTTGTATGTGATGTATTTTTGCCAAGAAAAAGGAAAAGAAGATGATCAAAAAGGGCATCTCACATTTAATATTTTTCTTAGCTACATTTATTTACTTTTTTGTCAGAACACATACTTCAGTGTGTTTGTGTGGAGGTAGCAAGACAAGCTATGGCAGTCCCACCGAGTGTGTCCCGGTTACTGAACTTAGTGGCGTCTTTACCCACTAAGCCATCAAACCCATTTCAGGTATTTTTAAGACCCAGCTACAAGAGATATTAAAACTAAGTGCATGAAGAGAAAAGATAGTTGAGATCATTGTTGTCTTAGGGATTCTACTGCTGTGAAAAACATCATGACCAAACACAATTTTGGGAGGAAAGGGTTTATTTCAGCTTACACCTTCACATCACTGAGGGAAGTCAGGGCAGGAACCCCAACAGAGCAGTAGTGTGCAGGCAGGAAGTGACGCAGAGGCCATGGAGCTGAGCTGCTTACTAGTTTTCTTCACCTGGCGTGCTCTGTTTGTTTTCTTATACACCCCAGGACCACCTGGCCAAGGGTGGCACTGCCCACAAAGAGCTGGGCTTTCCCAATCAATTATCAATCAAGAAAAGCCCGACAGACTTGCCTAAGGGCCAAACTTACAGAGACATTTTCTCAATTATGATCCCTTCTTCCCAGATGACCCTAGTTTGTATCGAGCTGACATAAAAACTAGGCAGCACAACTAGGTCCCAACAGGAAACAACAGCCTATGTTCAGGAACACGGGGGTTCAAATCCTAATTTTTTAGGGGGGCATTCCTAATTTTAGCATAAACTCTGCTCAAGTGTGTAAACAATCTAGGTAACTATCAAAGACAGAGTGAGAAAATCTACTACTTCCATCACTAACTTAACAATATGCTCCCTCATTGTTCTCAAAGCCATTATATCTGATATGGAATTATCACATACTGCTGGAAAAACTTTTCTTCCACAAAGTATGCTATGAACACGTTTCCCAAGTTAATAACTAAGCCAGCCACAGTGGCTCACACTAATCCTAGCACTTGGGAGGCTGACTGCTAGGACTGCTAAGAGTTCAAGGCCTAGATTCAGGTCATCCTGGACTAAAGAATAAAAGCTTCTGACAAAACAAAACAGTAACATCCAAAAAATAATTAGATAATCATAATTACCAAAAAGATTTTCATCTTACCATAAGATATTTATCACTTAACTCCGCACTAATTTAGTACTAGATTCTGTCCTTTTCATGACTTCTACCCAACTATTTTCACTTATAACAGCAAAAAATTTAAAATTAATTATCCCACAAGATAAAGGAAAGTTTATAACATCATGGTTCATAATGACATATTACACTACTACTAAAAATTAGTCATGTAAGTCTCAATGTACTATTAGCAAAACATTCAATGCTGGGATACTGGGAAAACTTTGAAGCTACAAAAATTACAAATAATATTTCCTTATGTAAAGGTATCAGGAGAAAAAGGGATGAGAGAAAAAAATGGTCACCAAAATGTGAAATGATTTTTTTCTTGGTTGTAGGATATCAGATTTGATCAGTCTTTTCTGTACTTTTGTTGGTTGGCTGGTTGTTTATTGTTTTGATTAGCTCAAGCTGACTGGCCTCCTCTTCCCTGGGCTGGGATGACAAGTATAAACCACAATACCTAGTCTTCTTTAAACACACACACACATACAAATATATGTATATATCTATACACTTATACATATGTAAACTGTATGTAACTAACTCACAATGTTTTCTTATACGAACTTTATACAAACTGAGTGGAAAAAAGAGAAATTTCTTTCCCATAGGATACTTATATTCAAAATTGTACATATCATAGCTAAAATAATAATGGAAAAGAAGAAAAGTTGGCAGATGTATACTACCTAGCTTGAAGAAATCAAAGACTCATGCAGCAAATTAAGAGTCCAGAAAGATGCACAAACATAAGTTAAGTAATTTTTGGCATAGGTTAAAAGGACAGAAAAAAAAAATGATGTTTTCAAGTGGTGATGGAAACAGCAAATGGGAGTGGATGAAGCAGTATTTCTCTTGCTTTAGCCCACATACAAAAGTGATCCAAAATGGATTACAGACCCAAATATAACTGCAGAAGTTATAAACTGTAACACTTTCTACAGAAAACAAGAAAATTATAGGGCATCAAAAGGAGAAGCCAGAGCCAGGTGACAATAGCACACTCCTTTAATCCCTTAGGAGGCAGAGGCAGGCGGATCTCCGAGTTCAAAGCCAGTCTGGTCTACAAAATGAGTTCCAGGACAGCCAGGGCTACACAGAGAGAAACCCTGTCTCAAAAAACAAACAAACAAAAAAAGGAGCCAGTTTAAAACTGTTAAATTTGATATCCATCTTGAAAATTTAAAACTTCTACTCAGAGATGTGCTGTTAAACAATAAAAAAGTAAGCAACAGAAGAAAACTTATTCATAACACTTTCAGAAAGGATTTTTATCCAGAATATGCAGAAAACTCTTAAAACTCATAAACAAAGGCTGGGGATGGCGGCACACACCCTTAATCCCAGTACTAAGGAGACAGGCGCAGGTGGATCTCTGTGCCTTTAACAAAGGTCAGCAAAGTCTCCACAGTTCAGGCCAGCTAGGGACAGCTTATCTCACACAAATCCTACAAACAACAAGAAACCCTAACAATCAAAGACATACAAATGAAATTTTAAAATGAATAAAATATGGAAATAAATACTTGCCAAAGCCAGGTTTAAGAATGGCTAGTGACCAGTTAAACTGCTAAATTAAAACCACAATAAAATAATATAACCATGTCTGGCTGAAAAAGGATAACTAGGACTCATGTGCACTATTATTGGTGGCAAGATAAAACGGTACAACCACTTGGGAAAGTTGGATACTGGCCTACAAAGTTTAACATATCGCTGGGATATGACCAGAGGTTTGGCTTTGGCCTTTCTTTCACTCAGGAGACATGTTAACAGAAACCCAAAGGCCTTGTTCAGTCGCGTTAGCTGTTGTTCCAGTCACAGTAGCTAAGGAATGGAAACAACGTAAATGTCCTCAACTGGTCAATGGAGAATGATAATGTAGTTCATGCATGATTCTATTCAGTTATAAAGAAAATGAAATTTGCAGGACAATGGACAGAACCAGAAAATATTACACTAAGTAATAAAAAAACAAAAACCGGAAAGATAAATGCTCCATGTTTTCTCTTATTTGTGGATTTTCGTTCAGAATCTTTAAATCTGAGTATATAACCTGGAGTAACCACAGATACCAAGAGAGTAAAGAGAGACTAGGGATGGAGTATGGGGCTCTGAAGAGGGGTAGTAGGACAGACAGACGCTATGAGGGGGAAATGGGAAAATGGAAGGTAGAAAGGAGGGCAGGATGGGGGGGAAGGATAAATGACACTACAGATGTTTGAAAAGCCAGGGGCACCCAGTTTAAATGAGGTACTCCACTTAGGCTGACAGTGCTCCCCCTCTCAAAGCCACAAACTAACAGAAATCCCAGAGCAGGCAGGGAACAGTCATTTTTAATTGTCATTCAGAGGAGTCCAAGAGACCCCAAGAGCAATTATAGGCTGTTGCTGATGCCCTCCCAGAAATTGAAAAAAACTGAAGGTAAGTCCCTGAATAAAGCTGTACCTAGCCTGGAAGCCTCCTCCCTAAAAACCAGCTCTCATAGTATGAGAAGGAGCTATGCAATCATTCAAAACCTGTGAAGTTAACTATGACTTATTCTTTTTCTTTCTTTCTTTCCTTCCTTCCTTCCTTCCTTCCTTCCTTCCTTCCTTCCTTCTTTCTTTCTTTCTTTCTTTCTCTCTTTCTTTCTTTCTTTCTAACAGTCTATGTGGCCCTAGCTATCCTGGAATTTGCAATGTAGACCAAGTTGGCCTCAAACTCAGAGATCTGCCTGCCTCTGCTTCCTGAATGATGAGATTAAAGTTGTACGCCACTATGCCCGACCCTACTAACCCATTTTCAGTAACCCTTTTTCACTAACAGTGATCCAAGCAAAACTTTGCTCCAAGCAGGCCAAAGTGCCTGCTTCCTCAGCACCTAGCAAGATGCCCTACAGAGTTTTGATCAAGCTGAGATTATCCAGGCTCTTTTGTTCGGTCTAACTAGCACTCATGGCAGAGCAATAGCAAAGCTTCCTGCTGCAGATGCTGTAGGAACTAAACAGATCATGTTACCAATTATTTTCAAATATGCAGGCACAAGATTGGAATTTAGTTCTTTTGGGGAAGCTTTTAACAAAAGTTGAATCTGAAGTACCTGTTTCAGGAAGGACTCCAGGGCTGAATGCGCAGCTTTCTTTAATTCCACATTTGTGTGGCTGCACCACTTCGACAGTACTTCAAATAGAGTAATATAGTTGTCCAGAAGGCAGGTAGTAAATTGAGATGCATGCAGGGTAAGTAAGCGCAGACCAGCTGCAAATACAAAATACATCCCATTTCAAACAGGTCAACAAAAGCCAGAAAAGAGAATTAAGAAAGCTTCCTATATACGCTAAAAGTAAAAAAAAAAAAAAAAAAAACTTAAGATTTTATATAGCCAGGCACAGTGACGCACACCTTTAAGTACTCAGGAGGCAGAGGCAAGCAGATCTCTCTGACTTTGAGCCCAGCCTTGTTTACACAGTAAGTTCCAGGACAGGCAGGCCTACATAGAGAGACCCTGTCTCAAAACACAAACAAACACAGTACATTACCCTAAAATAATCTGGTGATCTCAAAGTGCCCTCTAATGTTCCCAGTCTCTACACTGACTTAGGCTCATGACCTGGCACCAAAGAGGGTCAGGAATAGGATCTGGATTCATCAGCTCACAGCAAAATCAAGCAGCCTATGGGCTGAGGAAGCAGCTCAGTTGGTAGACTGCTTGCTTAGCACGTATAAGGCCCTGGGTCTGGTAGTTAGCATAGCATTAACAAGTTAAGGCACACATGCCTGTAATTTCAGCACTAGGAAAATGGAAGTCATCAGCTATATAATGAGGTTAAAGGTCACCCTAGGCACTGGGGTGGTGGTACACACCTCTAATCCCAGTACTCAGGAGGCAGAGGCAGGCGGATCTCTGAAAGTTTGAGACCAGCCTAGTCCTACAGAGCGAGTTCCAGGACAGGCTCCAAAGCTACACAGAGAAACCCTGTCTTGAAAAATCAAAAAAAAAAAAAAAAAAAAAAGAGAGTCACCCTAGGCAACATGAAACCATGTCTCAATAACAATAACAAAATAAAGCTTGAATCTCCTGAATGATAGTCTAACATACATTTTTTAAAAAAATATTTAAAATTCTTTTCTACATGGATTTCAAACATATTTTTGATCACTGACTCTAATTACACTAACATTTAATATGTATTCTTTTTTTAAAAAAATTATTATTGCATTTGCGTGTGTGCACCTGCACAAGTCAGAAGGACAATTTGCAGGAGCCAGCACTATTCTGTCGCTACATGAGCCCTGGACATAGAACTCAGTTCGCTAAGCTTGGGGTCAAGGACTTTCCTCACTGAACCATTCAGTCAGCCCCTAACAAATATAGATGTATATATATATGTGTGTGTGTGTATGTATATGTATGTATATGTATGTTTAAATCATGTACTGTGAAAGTGATCCCAGCTAAGAGTTTACTGCTTAAACTAGTCTTCATTAAAGCTTCATTGTAAATAGTGACGTGTGAAACATCAGACACTTTTGTATTTGCCTTCATTCTAGCTTACACAAAACCTTACTCAAGATGTAATTTAAGCTCTTATTTTCTTAAACAAAGAACCTTACCCAAGGGCACAGCGTATCGCTTCATCTCGATCTATTGCAGAAAAAAAAAAAATCATTATTTGAAACTCACAAGTCCGAACTGTGAAGACTTAGAGAGAAATATTAATACTACCTGTGGACGGATTGCTTTTAATGCGAAACCAAAGATCTCCCTTGAAGTCTGGGGATCTAGGGAATAACAACAAAATAAAGCTGTTAAAGCATCGTAACACTATTTATACTCTTTATCAAAATTTGCAAGTGACAGCTTTTCTTTTTATATATATATTATGTATACAATATTATGTATACAATATTTTGTCTGAGTGTATGCCAGCAGGCCAGAAGAGGGCACCAGACCTCATTACAGATGGTTGTGAGTCACCATGTGGTTGCTGGGAATTGAACTCAGGACTTTGGAAGAGCAGGCAATGTTCTTAACCTCTGAGCCATCTCTCCAGCCCGACAGCTTTTCTTAAGACCAATGGATATTTCCAGTAGCTGCACAAATCTACAACTTCAGGGTAACTTCTCAACATCACTTGACTGAGCTAGAGCTGCGAGTTGTTACAGCGTCTGGGGAGAGGAACATGGAATAACTCATGTGTGAGCACAGGAGCTAAATCAACGCCCACGTTACATAATCTCGCAGAGCCTCAACTTTCTCAGCTACAAAAAGGGAGACTATGGCTTCTTCAAAGACTGGAAGATTAGAAGAAGTGATTCAGTCAAGGACAAATATGTAGGCAGAATACCAATTCACATAAAATAAAATAAACAAATTATTTTAAAAAAAAAAGGAGTGCACAGTGGGAGAAGGGGCAAGAGACATAGATGAGAGAAACAGTGAGAATCAACTAACATAAGATATGTGGAAATTTATATTAAGTTCTATTTCTTTATAAGCCAGTGTGAAAAAAACTAAAATGAAACAAAACCAACTACAGTAAATTGGTTTTAAGAACAAGGGAAACGGGGGCTGGAGAGATGGCTCAGTGGTTAAGAGCATTGCCTGCTCTTCCAAAGGTCCTGAGTTCAATTCCCAGCAACCACATGGTGGCTCACAACCATCTGTAATGAGGTCTGGCGCCCTCTTCTGGCCTGTAGGCATACAGACAGAACATTGTATACATAATAAATATTAAAAAAAAAAAAAGAACAAGGGAAACAAAGTAACTATAAACACAACCTGCAGTCATAAAAGCAACAGGTATCCCCAGTGTAGAGGGGACTGGACCACCACCATCCAGGGAGGTCTGGCTTGGCCTTGCAGCCTCCTCCTCCTACCTCCTCTCACATACACATCCTCCAGTCTCGTGGATGCTTCCTGTACAAACATCCTCCTATCTGTTTCTAATGTGGTAAAAATCTGCATAAAAGTCATCATTTTAAAAATGTGTAAAGATACAATATAGTCACATTAAATATTTTCACTCTATTGTGTAACATCACCTAAATTTCTACACCTAAAATGTTTTCATCCTCCACCACTGAAAACTAGCCCCACCTCCACCCTTCTCAGCTCCCAGAAACTCCTACATCCTGTCCCTATACTTTCTTACTCTAAGTGGAGCTATATATCGTGTGGTTTTTTTTTTTTAGATTAGCTTTTTTTTTTTAGATCTTATTTATTTATTACGTATACAGGGTTCATACCTGCATGCCAGAAGAAGGTACCAGATCTCATTGTAGATGGTTATGAACCACCATGTGGTTTCTGGGAATTGAACTCAGAACCTCTATAAGAGCAGCCAGTGTTCTTAACCTCTGAGCCATCTCTCCAGCCCCTGTGTTTTGTTTTTTGATTGGCTTATTTCTTAATAGTCTTAGGATATCGCTACTATCTAGGTTATAGCATAAAGCAGAATTTGTCCTTGCTTTTGAGACAAGGTCTCAGCACTAGAAAGAGAATCAAAGTCTGGCAATACCTTCCTCCACGGACTTGGTGAAGTTGCACAGAAGCGAGGACAGCCCTTTTAGACAGCCAGCCAGAACAGGAAATCTAGGTTCTCTTACTGTCGATGTCATCTAAAAGGACGTTTTAAGGAAGATATTACAAAATGAAAACAAAAGAAAAACAAACAAGACTGTCATAAGGCAGGGTCAGGTTATACCTGGGTCTTGAGTTCTCCCAGAAAAGCCCGGAACAGGTTTTCTGAATGATTTATCATTTCACTAGGATGAACTTCGCCTAATACTCCCAGGAGCTCATAGATTTTTTCTAAAACTGAAAAATAAAATCAGATAAATGAAACCTAAAACTACATTTAAATAAGTAAAATTAACATAAATGTATGAATAAGAAAACAGAGGACGATCAAGTCAAAATGATTTCAGGGCCAGCCAGATAGCTCAGTGAGTAAAGGCACGTGCTGCCAAGCCTAGCCTCAGTCCCTAACCCACTCAGGAAGGAGAGAACCGACTCTCTCCAACTGTACTCTGACCTCAAACATGCACCTACACATTCACAAAAGTATTTTTAAATTTTTAAAGTAATTTTATAGTAAAACACAAAATAACTAGGTTTTTCATAAAATTCTTCCCCAAGTTTTATCTTAATCTCTTTCTTTTTTTTTTTAAAGATTTATTTATTTATTATGTATACAACATTCTGCCTCCCTGTATGCCCGCACGCCAGAGGAGGGCGCCAGATCTCATTACAGATGGTTGTGAGGCACTATGTGGTGGCTGGGAATTGAACTCAGGACCTCTGGAAGAGCAGCCAGTGCTCTTAACCACTGAGCCATCTCTCCAGCCCCTCTTAATCTCTTTCTATAAGTTAAATTATATTTAAGGAATCCTTTTGTTTGCTTCCATTGTGCTATTCTTTCAGCAAAAGACCTTCATTGAGGAAATTAATCGTTCGTTAATGTTAATTTGTGAAAATATTTGAAAATAACATCTCACCTGTATCAGTTAGTCTTGATTTTGATGCAAGTTCTCCATAGAACTTGTTAAATAATTCTCCAATCTTAAACTCATCCATGATTCTAGAACTTCTCAGTGTCTTAAGTAACTATAAGAACACAAATGAGAATTTTTCTAGAGAGGAAAATAAACAAAAGACAACCTCTGCTTCAACAAGGCTTCGGAATCCTGCCCTGGGTCTCTCTGCAATGACTCCTGCTCTGACATCTGGGGACATGGGGCTGGAGTGATCAGTAGGAGACACAGGGAAAGCCAGTCCAAACTTAATTTCAGCTTCCTCACAGAGCAGTAACACCGCTAGAACGACTTCTTCACAGGCATTCAGGATCACAGACCAACCAAGTCCAAAGCAATTCTAAGCCAGAATGCCAAGGGAGAAAATTAAAAGTGAAAGCGAGCCCCTCACTACTAGGGTTTCGGGAAAACCTCACTGAAACGCACAGCGTGCTCTCTGGGCACACCTAATAAACTGCATTGGCTCCCACCACAGGCAGCAAGCGTGACAAGTGGGAAGCCGGAAATTCTCAGCTAAGTTCCTCTTTACTACCCCGACAACTTCAAATTCTTCTCTTACTACTCAGGAAAATACGAACAAAACACCACTGTGCTGCCAGATGGCGGCTACAAAATTCACAACTCCATCCTCCCCTAAACTCCCACCTCAACAAAACTCAAATTTCCACTTTTGTTACAAACTTAACAATAAAAACATATTACTTAGAAATATAAAATTACCTTAATCAGAAGGTCTAGGGCTGCAATTTTACACTTAGCAGTTCTATCTTTTGTATAAACACTGGTACAAGTATTCTAGGATTCAAAACAAAATATGTCATTCAAAAGGAGACAAAAATCACCAATATAACTTTAACAACTAAGATTTAAATTTAGGTAAAACTGTTATCTATGAGGGGTAATACCAATGTGTAGCATAATAAAATTTATAAATTAACCCTTAAAAGCATAATAGAGTATATAAATATACAGATTAAAAATTACTGAAAATTAGGTTGGGCAGTTGTGTTGCATGCCTTTTATTTTAGCACTTGAGAGTTCAAGACCAGTCTGGTCTACATAGTGAATTCCAGGACAGACAGTGCTACAGAGAAAAACCCTGACTTGAAGAACCAAAAAGAAATAAAAAGAAAAAAATTACTGAAAACTCCAACTCAATATGCTATGGTTGCTATGTCAAAAATACAAACAGATAAGCCGGACAGTGGTGGCACACGCCTTTAACCCCAGCACTAGGGAGGCAGAGGCAGGCGGATCTTTGAGTCCACAAGAGCTAGTTCCAGGACAGGCTCCAAAGCTACAGAGAAACCCTGTCGCAAAAAAACAAAGATGAGGCTCCAGTAAGAATTTGAAAAAAAATTAGAAAACAAAAGTGTATTATTTGTTTCCACATACATGTACTATATACATGTTACATCAAGAAACAAATTACAGGCCCAGCTACTCACAATTACCTGAGCACAGGAGTTTGAGTTAACTCATATAACACACTAATACAAAAGAAAGCAAGAGAGAGCAAAAAAGCATTAACACATGGGCAAAGGGGGCTGGAGAGCTGATGGCTCAGGGGGTGGAGCACTGCTGCTTTCCCAGAGGACTCAGGTTTGGTTCCCAGCACTCAGAGTAACTCAGAGCCATCTCTGTAACTTCCGAGTGTACATACACACTCATGGTACACATAAAAATATACACACAGGCAAAACGTTCACACGCAAAAAATAAATAAAAGTAAATACAACCTTTAAAAAAAATTAAAAGTTACCAAATGTACTCAGAGAAAGACTAGAAAAGAAATTCAACAGTAGAGGGCTTGCCTAGCATGTCAAGTGACTGGGTGCTATCCTAAGCACCAAACATGAAAAGAAAAATCTCCACAGAATTTTGATAAAAGTAAACAAAAAAGCTATTATCAAATACCCTTGTAAACTGTGACACATTTTATAAATATTAACACCACGACTGAAACTTCCTAACATAATCAAGCTGAAATGAGTAAACACCAATAAAAAAGCATAAACAAGAGTCTAAGTTCTAGGTTAAAATTGAAGCTGGCATATATGAGTTTTGATTTTTCTTTTTCCTTACCTTTATATCAAGAGAATAATGCGTGACCTTCTGGTCAATTTTCTCTAAGAAAAGACACAAAAATTTTAGGGCTTCTTCTCTACAATCACGAAACTATAATATAAGAAATAAATACAAAATTTGGGTAAGAATAAGCCACTCCAACAAAGAGGAAGATAGAAGAGACAAAATGGAAGGAAAGGTTTGTACTCACTTCATCAAGGCCAAGTGACTTCCGGACAAATACAAGCAAACCATACTCTTTGGAAAATACTAAGGAAACCTGCAATGCTGGGGAGGGGCGCAGGATGGAGAAAAAAATATTAGAAGTGCCAAGAAACATTTTATAAAAGATCCCTGAAAGCACTGCCTGGTTTTCAAGGTACTTTTGCAAGTAATAAAAACTAACATGAGGCTATTATTTTGAAGCAATGAAAACAGAAAGTTCGGATGTTGTTCTACTAAGATAAAGTAGACAAAATAAAACTTTCTCCCATCCTCCATCAGATGCCCACAGTCTTCTCTGTGATATCTAACTTCTGGAAATCAACTTTACAAGGTAATAAAGGTTACAATGAATGAGGGTGACCTTAAAACGGTGATATAATACTCTATCTGGTGGATCCAATGTTATTATATGAGGCCTTAAGAGTGGAAGTCAGACCAGCTGAGAAAAGACTCTATCTACATAAAAACAAAAGGAGAGGATGAAGAAAAAGAGAACCAGGCCCTGGTAGAGCACTTAAACCCAGCACGTGGGAGGCAGAGGCAGGAGGATCTCAGTGAGTTCCAGGCTAGGCTGGTCTACAAAGCGAGTTCCAGGATAACCAGGACTACACAGAGAAACCCTGTCTCAAAAAACCAAGTCAGAGGATACACAGTAGGGAATCTCTCAGGAGAGATTCAGGCACTTCACGAGATGGGCTCAGCATGCTGCTTGCTGCTGCTTTGAAGATGGGGCTACAAGTCAAGGGAAGTGGACACATTCTAAAAGCAAGACTCACCAGCAAAGAAATAGGACCTTAAGTCTTATAATCTAAAGAAAGGAAAAGATGGGTTGTCTCCTAGACCCTTCAAGACAAAAAGTCTGCCTGAATATATTCGATCTAGCTTGGTGAGACCCATCCAGCTTCTGATTGTAGAATTTAGGATGAGTTCTGCTATTAAAATCAGTAAGCTTTAGAGCACAGGCGTTCGAGCCTTGTAATCCTAGTATGTAGGGTGTGAACACAGGAGATGCAGTTACAGAGGAGCCTAGGCATATAGACAGACCATGACCAAGAAATGCTTGCAGTGGTCACTGTAGCAGAAAGAAACTGACATCTATAATCTATCAATATGATGTATATTAAGTTGGAACTGCTTTAAGATCAAAGAGGTCATTCCCCAACAATAAATTCTAACCTTGAAACCTCGAAAACAGAAGGCAATTAAATGTTAGTTTTTTACATTCTGTCTTCTCCATTATCACTAGGTCCTTGACAATGTATTGTTACCATACAGCATCTTGTTCAAAGTTTTGTTTACTTGTTAAAAAACAAAAACTGGGTCTCACTATGTAGTCCTAGCTGGCCTGGAACTCAGAGATCTGCACTGATATAAAAGGCTTGCATATCTGTGTTTCAGAAAGGAACGTAACACAGGCTAAAGGGCGGTGGTGCAAGCCTTTAATCCCAGCACTTGAGGAGGCACAAGGAAGGTGGAACTCTGTGAGTTCAAGGCCAAGCCTGGTCTACAAAACTAGAGCTACAGAGAAACCCTATCCTGGGGAAAAAAGAAAGAAAGAAAGAAAGAAAGAAAGAAAGAAAGAAAGAAAGAAAGAAAGAAAGAAAGAAAGAAAGAAAAGGAGGAGGAGGAGGAGGAGGAGGAGGNGGAGGGAGGGAGGGAGGGAGGGAGGGAGAGAAAGGAAGGAACATGGTCTTTACCCACAATGTAATCAATTTTTTTTTTTTGGTGGTAGTACCAGGGACTAAACCCACAGCCTATGCTCCATCACTGAGCTGCCAGCCCTCAGGTTTAAACATAAAAACACTATCTGGGGACCCAGACCAGTGATTAAGAGCACTTCCTATTCTTCTAGAGGACCAGAGTTCAGTTCTGAGCACCGATGTCTAGGGTCTGGTAACCACTTGCAACTCAAGCTCTAGGGCATCCAATTCCCTCATCTGAACATCCGGAGTACACACACAATAAAAATAAGTACTGGGGTGGGGGTGGGGCGGCATGATTACTATCTGGCCATAGTAGCACATGCCTGTAATCCTAGCACTTGGGGAATGGGGCAGAAGTCAAAAAGGTAGGAAGACCACAAGCTGGAGGCCAGTCTGGGCTAGATGAAAATAACTGAAATGAATATGCTGAAATGAGGCATTTCCACAAAGAAAATTAAGTTATCATGCAGGCATTGCGTAAAGTTAAAAGGAACAGGCAAGCGAGGTACTTCGCATCTAGAATCTCAGCATCTGAAGGTTGTTTCCAGACTAGCTTGGGCTACACAGGAAGCCCCTAACTCAAAAAGAAAAATCAAAAGAACAGCATGGCTCTCAGTAATTTTTGCAATTATTCGAAAAACATGATGCAACGGGGGGGGGGGGAGTTTTGTAAATGTCCTAGTGAGTTCAGCCGAGATTAAGATGTACTTTCCTCCAACTTTGGCTAGAAACCACTGCCAAACTTGGGGGCTGTTTTCCAACACCGGTTTTAAAACTTCTTCAGATGCTAGGAAAAGAGATCAGTTACACAGCCACAGATCCCAGACTTCACAAGACCGTGCTACATCAGGGCAGAGAAGCGCTGAGACCTCTGACAGGCGGGCCCCCCCCACGCCCCGTACCCACCCAGCACTGCGGAGCTAGTGCTCAGCACGCACTCCTGCCCCAAGCCATGGATCAGCTGATAACTGGCGCCCGCAGCGTTGCAGCGATCCGGCGCGGACACAAACTCCTGCAGTTGCTGCAGCCAGCCGCGGACACCGGCGCCCGCGTCCGCCATAGCGCCAGCACCCGCTTCGCGCATGTGCGACGAGGCCCCGAAAGTACCGGCGGGAGCGCTCGCTCGTACTCCGGCAGGAAGGGTGAGCGCGCACACCCACAGGCCTGACTCTACGCCGCGCCTGACTTGTGCACCACGGAAATCAAGGGGACAGAAACCTGTCAGTCTAACCGAGCGAGGTACCACAAGAGCATTCACTGTACTTGGGACGCTGCAGACGTAAACACGCCGCAGGCAGGAGAGGGACCAGCCCGCCGCGGGTTTCCCGCCAAAGCGCGGTCCTGCTGCAGACTAGCCCATCGGAGGAGAGGGGTGAACAGGGTGAGGCCGCGCTCTTCCACCGAGACGGCCGCCTACAACTCCCCTGCGGGCGGTGTTGGTGCTTCCCAGAGGCGGAGCTACGCGAGTCTGCCTCTGTGATTGGTCGAGAACTTCCTCTAGAGCCACGCCCACCCCACGCCAAGGGCGCAGAGTGGAGCCTTCCGGAGGCGGAGCTAGGCTCTCTTGCCTCTGTGATTGGCCGGGTGCTGCTGGGCGCTGTGACGACAGAGCGACTGGCGGGAATCGGCTCTGCGTTCCGGCCCGGAAAGCTCTGCACGGTGCCGGCTGTACCAGCTAACCCCGGATCCAAGAGTCGGGACGACTCGGAGCCAGCTTCTCCTTGTGGCGTAGGTACCGCAGCACCATGTCGTCCCCGGCGTCGACTCCGAGCCGCCGCAGCAGCCGACGCGGACGAGCCACTCCATCCCAGACGCGTGAGTCCCCTCATCTTTCTCTTTCCGCCTCGTGTCTATTCCCGCAGCACCGTGGAATGTCCTGGGGCCTCCGAGCCTGGTGCTTGGTTGACAGGCCTGGGCAGATAGTGAGTGGCCTCTGGTCGCTCAGATACTGATGACTGCCGGGCTGTCCGGCCTGGGCAGCTCCGTTGTTTAAAAATGCCAACTCCTTTTCTCTCTGTTCGGAGTCATTTGTGGGTTTGGTTTTTTTTGTTTTGTTTTGTTTTGTTTTGCGTGCCGGAAGTGAGAAGTGAGGAGGGCAGCAGGTCGTCTCCCAGCCGGAGACGGAGAGGCGAAGATTCTTCCACTGGCGAGCTGCCACCGATGCCCACCTCTCCAGGAGCGGACCTGCAGAGCCCAGCTGCACAGAGCGCCCTGTTTTCCAGCCCTCCCCAGATGCATTCCTCAGGTGGGTGTCTGCAGATGTGGGTTCCGCTTTGGTCGATAAGAGTCATCAGCGGTCGGGATGGGATGGCTGGTTTAGCAGTTGTTGTGATGCCCAAGCATTCTTCAGTGTGAGCTGGTGTAGGTTTTCACTGAAGCAGCTGGGGAGGGAGGCAGAATTGGTACAAGCTGTGACCCAGTGAGCCAAGGAAGCAGATTTTATAGTAGAACTGCATTTTTGGGGTATGATGTGCTACCTGGATTTCTTCCGTGGTGAAGGTGAATATGTTGTTTTTGTAGCTATTCCTTTGGACTTTGACGTTAGTTCGCCGTTGACATATGGCACTCCCAGCTCTCGAGTGGAAGGAACCCCAAGAAGTGGGGTGAGAGGCACCCCAGTGAGGCAGAGGCCAGACCTGGGCTCGGCTCGGAAGGGTCTGCAGGTGGATCTGCAGTCTGACGGAGTGAGTACGGAGCAGCTCTGGGAGCGGGACATTTCTGGAGCCTAAGGTAGGTAGTTCCGTTAACCTGTTTCTGTCGTCTCCTCTGTAGACAGCTGCAGAAGATGTCGCAGCAAGCGAACAGTCTCTAGGCCAAAAACTTGTGATTTGGGGAACAGATGTGAATGTGGCAACATGCAAAGAAAATTTTCAGGTAAGCTTATGGATACTAAAAACTCATCCCTGAGACTTTGGGAGAACGTGTTGGTAATCTTATGTTGGTAGCCATGATGTATAGCAGCAAGTTGTTTGTGGTGTAGAATTTTATTTCTAAAATAATTTGTTATGCAAAACATGGTGATAAACTTTTTATTAAGATTTTGATACTTTGAGATGGTTTCTCTGTGTAGCCCTGGCTATTTTGGAACTCGAAGCTGACTTCGAACTCAGAGATCCACCTGTCTCTGCCTCTCTGCGAGAATTAGAGGTGTGTGTTACCACTCCCAATTAGGTGGTAAATACTTATTTTAGCATTTGGGCAGAGGGTTACTGGAAGTTCAAGGCCAGCCTGGGTTTATAGTAAGAACCCTGTCTCAAACCCAAAGAAGAAATTCTCTATCTCTGTATGTGTTCATATAGCCATAGATTTAAATTTTTTTCTTTCATATAGTTATTGTTGGGGGGAGGGGACATGCCATGCATGGCTTTCATGTGAAGGTTAGAGGTCACTTTGCAGGGGCTGGTTCTTTCCACTGTGTGGGTTTGGAGATAGAACTGAGGTCATCAGGCTTCTAGGCGAGCATCCTTAACTACTGAGCCATCTTGCTGGTCTAAATTCTGCATTTTAATAATAACTACATGTTTTAAGTTCATTAAGCTTAATACTTTTTTTTTTTTTACTCCATGTCAAGCGATTCCTTCAAAGTTTTACTGATCCTCTGGCCAAAGAAGAAGAAAGTGTTGGCATAGATGTTACTCAACCTTTGTACATGCAAAGACTTGGAGAGGTAATCAAATGCGATTTACAAATGGAAGTTTTGTGTTTTGAGATAATAAAATTAGTGAAATATGACTTCTTCATTTGTCTTACAGATTAATATTACAGGAGAACCATTTTTAAATGTGAACTGTGAACACATAAAGTCATTTGGCAAAAATATGTATAGACAGCTCATCTCCTACCCACAGGTAAGAATTGATTTGAGCTTCATGGTTATAGTAAACATTTGCAAGGAATGTTCCTAGCAACAGAATTGCATTAGGTTAAAAGACTGCTTCCAAAGATTGACTATTCTTAAAGAAAACCATGTTTTACTGCATTTAAAGTGAGGATTTTTTTCTTCACTAATTAGTAGTGTTCCTTAAAAGTAGTGAATCTTACCAGCGATTTCTTGGATTTCATGAAGTAAATTATCTCTTTTCAGGGGGTGTTAATCAGAAGCTGTTGAGGCAAGGTAGTGTTCAGGGTAGCTTTGTAGCTGAAGATGACCTTGAACTCCTGATTTCTTGGTTTCTGACCCCTGGGGGTGGAGTTAGGAGGTCTTATGACCTACCTGATGTGGTGCTAGGACTTGAACTTGAGTCTCCTCAGAGCAACAAGTACTGTCAACTCCTGAGTTATCTCTTCAGCCCCTATATCTTTATATTCATATTTACAGGAGGTCATACCAACCTTTGACATGGCGGTCAATGAGATCTTTTTTGAGCGTTACCCTGACTCCATTTTAGAACATCAGATTCAAGTAAGACCTTTTAATGCATTGAAGACAAAGAGTATGAGAAACCTGAATCCTGAAGGTAATATATTTAATAGTAGTAAATGTCTTATGTGGGAAGAAACATCAAGAATTGTGTAGTGGGTAGTGATAGCATTAAATTATAAATTGAAAAGATTTATTCTGTATACTTTTGTGAACTTATTGTGCATTTTTCTAACTTAACTGAAGTATCTGATATAAAAGAAATTGCAATACTCTACTGTAAAAGTGAATTTATTCAAATACAATAAATTTCTAGTTACTAGGTATGTACTTTTTTGGTGGCGCACACCTTTAATCCCAGCACTCGGGAAGCAGAGGCAGGTGGATCTCTTTGAGTTTAAGACCAGCCTGGGCTACAGAGCTAGTTCTAGGACAGGCTCCAAAGCCACAGAGAAACCCTGTCTCAAAAAAAACAAAACAAAAAAGATTTTTATTAATTAAGTATATAATGTTCTACCTGAATGTATGACCACACACCAGAAGAGGGCACTATACATGGTTGTGAGCCACCATGTACTTGCTGAGAGTTGAACTCAGACCTCTAGAAAAGTAGCCAGTGCTGTTAACCTCTGAGCCACCTCTCCAGCCCTGGTATGCACGTTCTTAGTCACTGAAGAAATCAAATACAGAAGGCCAGCAAGGTGGCTGAGCTATAAAAGCAATTTCTATGAAAACCTGATGATCTGAGTTCAGTTCCTAGAACCCATGGTGAAAGAAGATTAAGTTTTGAGAACTGTTTTCTGATTTTACATCGGTGCCCACAGTCATACACACATGTAATAATAATAAAGAAAACAAATGCAGAACATGATTCCCCAGCCTTAAACTTTAAAGAATTCCAGCTTGCAAAGTAAGTAAAACATAAAGTGTCTGTGCCTCGGGGAAAGAACAAAGTTCTACACCTGTAGAGGAAAAATTGGTTATGAAAGAGAAATTTGGGTAATAGGACCTGAAAGGTGAATATGGAGGAATTCCTTCTAGATGACGTACTGGAGGGACGATAGAAAACTGCCTGTGAGAGATGGCAAGTGTGGGTGATTGAAGTGAGGATTTTGGAGACAGTGATGGGGATCAAAAACCCTAGTTATAAACTGCTTAGAATGTCAAAGAATTTAGGCTTTTACTTCTCATACTGGGTTGCCTTACCCAGTCTTAATACATAGGGAGGTGCTTAGTCTTTTGGGGGAGGTTGTTTATTTCTTGTTTGTTTTGTTTTTTCAAGACAGGGTTTCTCTGTGTAGCTCTGGCTGTCCTGGAACTGTAACTTGATATGCCACGTTTTGTTGATACTCATGGGAGATCTGCCCTTTCCTAAACAGAAACTGAGCAGTGTATTGGTGGGAACAGATGGGGAGAGGTAGAAGGGAAGGACTGGGGGGAGAGGAGGGAGCGAAAACTGCAACCAGGGTGTAAAATAAATAAATTGAAAATGAAAGAGTTTGGGTTTTGTTTCAAAATAAGTAAAGAGATGTTTAAAAGAGAAAGATTTTGCCACTTAATATAATTCCACAAAGTTCTTGTATGAATTCAGTTAGACTGATAGTGGCTCAATTATGGGATATCAGGATCCTAATCTAGATAGTCCTTGGTGTTATAAACAGGACAGAATGACATTTTTCCGTGTGTGGAGATTGGAATGTAGTTGTTTTTTTGGGGGGTAGGGTAGGGGGTGGGGGTTGAGACAGGGTTTCTCTGTAGCTTTGGTGCCCTGAACTAGCTCTTGTAGATCAGGCTGGCCTCGAACTCACAGAGATCCTCCTACCTCTGCTTCCCGAGTGCTGGGATTAAAGGCGTGCGCCACCACCGCCCGGCCCTGTAGTTTTTTAAAATTAATAAGAATGCCTCTGCAGATAAATGTGTTAAGATTGTATAGTATCTTCCATAACAAAATAA